TTTGTTTCATGGATATATTGTGTACTGGTGGGGATTGGGCTTCTAGTGTACCCATCACCCAGATACTGAAAATTGTTTCCAATAGGTAGTCTTTCAGCCCTCATCCCCCTCCCACCCCTTCCTGTTTCGGAGTCCACAGACTCTCTTATTTCCATCCTTATGTCGATATATATGTATTGTTTAGTTCCCACTTATAAGCGAAAACATGCAGTATTTGTTTTTTTTTTTGTTTGTTTCTGAGTTAGTTCACTTAGGATAATGGCCTCTACCTCCATCATATTGCTGCAAAGAACATAATTTCAATTTTCATGGTTGCATAATATTCCGTAGTGTATATATACCATATTTTATTTATCTGTTCAACCAATGATAGACACTTAGGTTGGTTCTATGACTTTGCTATTGTGAATAGTGCTGAGATAAATGTAAAAGCACAGGTGTCTTTTTTATATAATGATTTCTTTTCCTTTGGATCGATACCCAGTAATTGGATTACTGAGTTACATGGTAGTTCTATTTTTAGTTCTTTGAAAAATCTCCAAGCTGATTTCCATAGACATTGAATTAATTTACATTCCCACCATCAGTATATGAATGTTTCATTTTCTCTACATCCACACCTACATCTGTTGCTTTTTAACTTTTTAAAAATAGCCATTCTGACTGGTGTAAGATGATATTTCAGTGTGGTGTTAATTTGCCTTTCTCTAATAATTAGTGATGTTGAGAATTTTTTCATGTGTTTGCTGCTTTTGAGAAATGTGTGTTCATATCCTTTGCTCAGTTTTTAATGGAGTTGCTTGCTTTTTTCTGTTTAGTTGTTTGACTTCCTTATATACTCTGGATATTAGTCCTTTGTTGGAAGCATAATTTGCGAATATTTTCTCCCATTCTGTAATTGTAAGTGTATTCTGAGTTTCTTATATTTTGGAGTCTACTTCTCTAGCAAGATTAAGGAAATTTTCCTGAATTATTCCCCTAGATATGTTTTCCAGTTTGCTTACTTTTTCTTCTTCTCTCTCAGGAATGTCTATAAGTTATAGGTTTGGTGAAAATCCCATATTTCTTTGTTCTTTTTTAAAATTCATTTTTCTATATTTTTGTCTATGTTAGCAAAAGACCAATCTTCAAGATCTGAAAATTTTTTCTTCTGCTTGGATCATTAAAGCTTTTAACTGTATTTTGAAATTGTTTAAGTGTATTTTTTATTTCCAGAAGTTCTGTTGTTGTTGTTGTTGTTGTTGTTGTTTTAAAGGTATTTATCTCTTCCTTCATTTCCCTATTTTCATGGTTTCTTTGTGTTAGTTTTCAATTTTCTCTAGGCTCTCATTGACCTTCCCTGCAATCCGTACTTTTAATTCTTTGTCTGTAATTTTGGGGTTTTCATTTTTGTTGGGGCTCTTTGCTAGAGACCTAGTGTGATTATTCAATGTCACAACATTGAGATCTTTCATGGTGCTAGAATTTTTACACTGGTTCCTTCTTATCTGGAGAAGCTGACACTTCTTATATTCGAATTTATTTTCATTTATGTGGGATATTTTCTCTGTTATCTCCCCCTTCTCCCGCCTTGAGGGCGTCACTGTAGAGTTTGTTGGTAGGGGTTTTGGACTTCCTCCTGCAGCCCTGTGCACTTCTGTTTTATATTGGGCCATGCAGTTCAACCCGCAGGCCAGTAGGTGGCACTTACAAATAAGAGCTGGCTTACTTGACTTATATATCACTCACCTCTTTCCTGTGTTAGGGAGCCCCTTTTCGGTCCATGGGGGTCCCAGCTCGGCAGACTTTACTCTCCTCTCCTGTCTGTGATTCCTGTCATGTCTCTGGTGAATTTCAGTGTGCTCTCTTAAAGGATCTATTTGAAGTATCTATTAGTATTTACTCACTGTTTTGATGCCTGAGAGGTGTTCACTACTGGCTGGGGCATAAGCCCATGGGTATATTTGACCTTTGCTCACTGAGGTGCTGTCTATTGTTTCAGGTGATGGACTGGACAGCGGAATGCCAGGTGCCCTGAGCTTCCTGCTCAGAGTAGATTGGGAGGGTGGAAGAGAGGATGCACCTGGGCAGAGCTGGAACCCTGGCATTCCCACAAATA